TTCTGAGAACAAATCCACATCTGTCTACAGAATGCTGTGATGACTGCCACTGAAAACTGCAGCATAACCAGTGTAATCTATAATGTGCTTTCACAAGGGTACCCATGAATAAAGAAATGCACTGCATTCCTCTTCCCAGCTAACCACACCCTAGGAATGGAGAATTACAGTCACAAGTATATTATAACACAGATGCTGAAGGACAAGTATCAACTCTACCACAGACAGGGGCAGAGTGGCAGGGAAAGGACAAAAATGGAGTTCTCCCTGTGGAGATGAGGATTTGTGGGGCTCAGCCTGAGCCCATAGAGAAGGAGGAGGAAGAGAAGATGCTTAATGGACCAAGCACAGACATCTGGTTTCTGGGACATAAGCAACAGTGATGGAGAATAAAGCTTGTAGGCCCTTTTAGCATCATTCAGGAAGCAATCTGAGATTTTAGTAGACAGCTCTGTAAGTGCCCTTCCTCCACAGCCTTGGTCACACTCTGGTGACAGAAAACAATCTCCTGGGGAAATCCACAGAGCTGCAGAGTGCTGAAGTTAATGAAAACATCATCCAGCTCTCCACCTGTCAATATTGACCAAATTGCTGATGATGTTAAATAGACTCCCTCTCATTTGAAATGCAAACAGGTAAATATTAGTGCTACCTCTAATGAGACTTGGAGAATGCACACACCAACCCCTGCTCATTACCTTGGGCACGGCCTGGAGAGCACAGAGCAATGGAGAGGATCACTTACACCCAGCTGGAAGAAAGCTAAAAGCAGAAAGAGCTCTCAGCTGATGCTGGACACAAGCTCGTGCATTGGAAATTATTCCAGAATGCTCTGTATTCATGTTTCATCTGTACTTTCTCAGCTCAGAGTGAGGCCTGAACTACTCCTCCTGCAGTCAAAGGTGTGTGAGGACACTGCAGGATGGATGTGCCTGAGGAACATCCCCATCCCTCCCTGTGCAGAATGGGACAAAGGACACCTGAACTCCCTTGGCTTCCAGTAATGCTTCAATTTATTTTCACAGCCACACCAAACCAAAGAGAACACAGCCCTGTACACCCTTTGTATACATTCTTTGGACTCCTTCTTTGGAGAGTAAATAAAATATTTACAGTCTATAAATCTAGGAAAATCGTTTCTCTTTCAGCAGCAGATCAACTTCCCTGGCATGCTGCAGGGCAAATTGTGTACCAGTCTCCAGCTCATCTCCTTGCCTGCAAGATTTATGTGTTTTTAGAGCATCTTGGAAAAGATTTTTGTGATTTACATATGATTTTTTTTGCCAGAGAGGATACTAGGGGCTTGTCCTACAATACAAATTATATTCTGCAACAGTTGTTATGAGAGTCTTTTGTAATACAACTTTGTAGGATGCAGACTTTCTTTTGTTGGCTTTATTTACATCTGCTGTGTTTTATGGGCTCTGCACCACTCACATTTCTGAATCATTTGCATTGTTCCTCATACCCTTTTGGCTGAGAGCAGTGCTGGGTTTTACACAGCACTTTACAAGCAGGACATGCATGTTGAAACAAATCGTAATGCTTGGGATTTGTATCCTTAAAGTCCTCTCCAAATACAGCCAAATACAGCTTTGCACCATTGGGGTAGGGAACCAAGAAGAGTTTATTGCTGTTTCAATGGACATTGAGTGGCTAAAGTGACACCGTGTCCCCACAAACCCAACATGAGCCCAGGTGTGACACCAGTGCTGGCCCCCACCACGCCAAGGGAAGAACAGGCTCCTTTTATTTTGGAAATGGTTAGTCCCAAAGGAGACCTAGTGCTATTTTGAACCATAGGAACACGACCTTTGGTGTATTTCCATGAGTTTTAGAAGTTATTGGGTTGATTTCCTCCCTCTCCAACACCATGGAGTTGGGTGAGGCTGAACCTCCTTCAGTGTTTCTTTGGTTGTAAACACAAATACATAATGGGATTATACATGGTGTGCAGGCTCCTCTCTGGTCACAGTACACAAAATATAGATAACACTTAACCCACTTAAATGGAATAAGATTAATGGGGGCAGTTATTTTCCAAAAGGAAGTACAGGAGCACAGGTGGTTGCAGAGATGAGTTGAGTAGTCTCATTCCCCAGCTACTGGGATGATTGTTGGGACATTTAGGAGCCTGATTTGATCCTCATTGAAACAAAAACAGAAAAACAGTCATCTTCTGATTTTTGATAACTGAGATGTGCTCAGTCTCTGAGTTACTCTGTTTTTTCCTTCATTTAACTGCTCCACCACCAGCTGAAGTCACAAGTGTGGGCATCTGCTAAAATTTAAACACTTTGTCTGACCTGTCCCCAAACCAACTAAACTTACCAGGAATGAACTCCTAAGTGATTTGCAACTTTAAATCACCTTAAGTTTCTATTATGACTTTGTGGAAGACTTGCCTTTTAATGTCTCCTATTGCCATCCCAGTTCCCCTTTCAGTGTCTAACCTACAGAGATGATTAAGACAAAACTGCTGGCGATACCATCTCTGCCTGTTTGTAAGAAACATCCTTCTTTCTACTAACTTTTTCCTTCTTCCTCACAGACAGCAGCTTTTGAGCAGCCTAGGGAGCAAGGGAGTTTGTTTTGATAGCAAAGTGAAAACCCTTTTTTCAGTAGGTACTGCTGAGGTGGGAGCATTTTCACAGATATGCAAGTTGAAAACTACAAGGAGGAAGAAGGATACATAGACACTAAAATTGTAGTGGGAGAAAGAAAGGCAAGATTTTTGATATGTTTATTGAGAGGAAGCTCCCAAAAATTATGAGAAAATTATTGTCTTCCTAAACACCAACAAATTGTTCAAGGGTGGATTCACCTTACGTGGCTTAGACATCAGGACATAGGTGCCTGTGCTCATGCCAGTTATCCTAGCAAAACACAAGTCTCTGGAAGGTCATTCACTTCATTTCAACACCACCCAGCCCTTGGAGGTCCTCATTTCCCTCCACTGACTCTAAAGGGATCCATGGAGGAGTTGCTGCAGCACAAATGTCTCCCTCTGAGCTGTCAGGAGAAGGCAGGCAAATCCTAATCCAAAGCTCTGTACCATCACCTATATGTAAAAGCTATGATGAAAGTGCATTTGTGATTAATCACACATCCTTACAAGTTGGGGAATTCCATGTAATAGTTCCCTTATGAACCATAACACACACTTCCTGTCAGCTTAATGTTTTCTCTAAAGGTGTGCAGCAACAATTGCTCCAGAGGAGCTCAGTGTTTTGGACCAAGTTACAGTTTCTAAGGGAATCATAACTTTGCCTTGATTTGAATGCAATTAAATTCTCTGCCATAATAGCAGCATAATGACAAGAATATTTTTTCTTTATTTCCTCAGCTTGGAAATTAAAAGGGAATAACACACATTGGTGCACAAGGAAATGGACCTTCAACTCCATACAGACAGCAGTATTCTCAAGTCAGTGTGTTCTCCTTCTGGTATGGAAAAGGATGCAGGAAAACCCAATTATATATTTATTTTTAATGCCCACTTCCTGTGCATGAAAAGGGGGAAGTTGTGGCGGCAGTTAGAACATGGACTCAGCCACGGCTTGTAGCTTTCCTTCTCAGCCCACTCTGGGCTTTAAGCTACTTACTGAATCCCTGTTTGCCAGCCTGAGATGTTGAGACCTGAGACTTGATCTGATAAAAGCTGTGTACAGGTTTAAGTTTGCACATGGCACACAGTCCCTTGCTGTGATGCTGATAAATGCCCTGGGTAGAGCACGAGTGATGACTTCACCCATGTCAGTTCTACTGCTCGAAGCCATCCTTCAACTAGTTATGAACTTAGAACGTTGTTTGTTGGGTTTTTGTTTGTTTGGAGTTTTTTTTTGTGCATAAAATGCATGAAATAATCCCCAAATTACTGTTATAGTCACCTGGTTTTGCTTTATGTTTTGCTTTATGTTTTTATGGGCCCCTGAAAGACTTATTTACATAAAATTTAACAGTGTTTTTCTCCTAATGTAGGAGATACAGTTGAGATCTTATCACAATAAGTAAACTGCTGTTACTGTTATTGGGACAGGTTTTCTTTTTGTCACTTAAAACTATAACTTAAAACTAGGCTTTAACTTAAAACTGTGTATATTTCTGAGGAGTGGGAGTGGTTCTGTGCTTTGCAAACAGCTGTGCCAGAGAACAAATCACCAGTGAGCAGTGTCCCTCCCAAAAGGAGAACTGCACCTTTCCCCAGGAGGAGGTAGAACAGCTCACACAAGTGTTCTCTGCATAATTTAGTGTCAGAATGAGCTGTGTTAAAGCATAAGAGGCTTAAAGAGAAAGTCATGCAAGCCTAACTGGTACTGAGAAACAAATGTGCAGCCTAGAAGAAAATGTTCTTGGCTTGTTTGGTGCTAACCCAGTGATGAGCAGAACTCAGCCCGTGCTTTGCATCCAATTCTGCACCTTGAAAGCCAGAGGGACCTGAAAGCCTGCTGGTGACCTGCACAGGACCACAGCACCCACTCCTCACTCGCCACTGCCTGCCTGGGTTTTCAGACCGTATATTGTTTGTTTAGAGAAGTGTCAGAATAAAAGGGGGAGGGGTGCTGGTGAATTGGACCTTCAGGCACACAAATAAAAGTCAATCTTGGGAGGTGGATTTGGTGATCCCTGTGGGGCCCTTCCAACTCAGGGTGTTGCATGATCCTGGATTCCGTGATCTTCACTGATTTATCTTATTCTAGCAGAGGCACATGGCCTATGATTCCATTCCCAGCACAAAGAATTCTTCAGGCTAAAACCCCAGTGTACTGACTTTGGCAGTATCTGTGCTGCATCCAAATGTTGAACAGTTGACAACTAAAAAGTTCCTGCTTAGTCTTTCCCCTCTCAGCCCTTGCCTGAGAAAACAAGACAGTTTTGCTAAAACTGTTAATCTGGAATTAGGACCTCAGGATTGGATGCTCTGCCACAGACCTTTTCTTCTTGTTTATACAGCTTCCAAAATGTGGGTGGTTTATTGGAGGGTTTATCTACCTATTTTCTCTTATCTTTCCTAATTGCAAGCTCAGGTATAAACAGAATAATTGAATCTGCAGAGTAAATAAACAAGCACTGCACATAGAACTGGGATCAGTAAAGATTGCCTGAAAATTCCCAGGTGTATCTGTAGCTTTCTCCTACAGCTGGGTTTGTTTTGTGTCCCAGGGTTTTGATGTAGGCCCTGCTCTGTGATGATGAAGTTGTGAAACAGAAAACTCTGGAGAATTATGCAGCGTTAAGTGATGCAGAATAATCTTTGACTCTTTTAAAATATTTCATTCTCCTTTTTGCCCTCTGAACAGGTGTGGTGCTGGGTGAGGTGAATGAGAGCAGTTCCTACTTCCAAGGGCATTATTTATTCAGAGATAATTATTTATTGGTTAAAATGCATTCTCTAATATGCCCAGAATTTGCAATCCATGTTCTCCTGTATTGCAGATTAACATCCATTTCCATTTTAATAACGACAGTGAGTGCAACAAGCAGGGCCAGACTGTGCAAAACAAATGTCTGCTAATTTGTAGTCTTTTAAATATGTAAAGCTAGTCTTTGATGTTAATACACCATTAAAAAGGAGCTGGGAAGTTCACATGTCTGTTCCTGTGTCGCTTGTCAAGCAGCAGAACAGCTCAAAGAGCAGCTTGCTGGTTTGCAGCATCAAACTCACCTCAACAACTCTGGCATCCTGCAAAAGATTTTGGTACTTGGCGTCTTAAAATTTTATAGAACATGCAAAATCCATGGGAGGGAGCTGCATCTGCAGGGCTCATGCCTTTCTGTGCCCTTTATTCTTTCTCCAGCAGCAACAGCAACGTGGTCCACGTGAGCCTGACTCGGCTTCTCCGGCAGTCCTGGGGGATGGAGGAAGAGCCACATCACCCTGGCGGTCAGAGCTCACAGTGACCCTACTTTCCAACCCCAGGGATTATGTTTACAAAAATCCTTGAATATCAGCACAGTCAGGAAATAGTTCAATGTTTTGGGACTACAACACTTGAAGGGAAAATGAATTTGTCATTGTGAGGTTTACTATAGCCAGGGTCGAGGTGATAACAATTAATAAAAATCCTTAAACAGTTTCTGGCAGCAGCTTCTGCAGCATTTTAGTTTTTCTTCTGAACTCCTGTTAATTGGGAAAAATGTGCAGCAATTTCACTTATTCTTCTATGAGGTGAGCCATGACTGCTCTCATTTCTCCCATTTCTGAAGTGAAGAGCTTCACTGAAGTATCAGGAAATCATCAGTGCCTTTCAGAAAATAAACCAGGGTGACTTAGGCATTTGAAACAGTTTTCAGCTCAAAACATAGACAGTTGTGCTGATAGCAGCTACCTGATCCAAGTAATGGTCTATTTTTCACCCATTACAAGTAGGACACAGGTACAACACATATACTTTTGGCACAGACAAGTGAACTGCACTCCCATTTTTAGGGGAAGACAGACAGATCCTCATTAGCATTGCTGTATTGATAGAACTGAGGCAACATGCGAGGCATGCACACACTGATTGCACTGCAGTACTGTGATGAAAGCCAAACCTTTTTTCCTCTCCTAAATAGGCCAAACTGGTGCTTCTACACCAATATCTTACCTGCTATCTTATGAGGCTTGTTCTTTTCTTTTGGCACAGAGGTGGAGCTGCTTTCAAAAGAAGACAACCAGGTACAAGTCATTGACTTTCCATACTCAAATATATCCTCACCTTTCATCTTTCCAAGAGTTTTGAGGGGCTTATTATTATAAAAATAATGATAATTTCATCTTTGCAAATATCTGTCTCTGGCTACTTTTAGTCCATGACTCTCCTCCCAGATCCAAGTCAATTCATTCCCACAGCAGCAGGAGAGCTGAAGAAGGAAAGCCAATTTCTGTTCTCATGTACAAAACCGTCAGGATGAAATTTGTCCTCCTCTTGCAGGAACAACCCCCAGCATTTGGTTTTGATATTAAACCTGTAATTTATTTGTGAGTTAATAAACTAATACCTGATTTGAGCATCTCTAGGCAGGGACAGAGCACAAGGTCCAGCTGATGGTACTCTTAGTACCAAAACTGTCCTAGATATCAGAAATTGTTTACACTGTTTATCATTTTACAGCTTCTTAAAATAGCTCTCTGGTATGCACTGTCTCATCTCAGAAATGAGTAAAACAAACACCAGAAATCAGGGAAATAACTATTTTCTGCTTTTAAACATATAGTTGATGACATGAGAGTGGCAGGCAAAGACTCCATCGACAAATTTGTGCATAAGGAAATGGATTTTCATGTAAGTAATTATTATGAATGTTAACTCGCTGCACACATCATCAGGAAAGCATCAGGGAGGTTTGTTTGTGGAGGCTAAACAAAATATGTTTGCTTCCTGCTGTTCTTTTATGGGCATTTTTATTGGAAGCACAGTTTATAGAGGCATAGCAATCATATATGTTTCACTGTAAAAGCACCATGATTCTTTGGAAACAGTATCAGGCTCTCTGCAGAAAAACAAAGTTGGCCAAACTTCACAGTTATCAACCTAGAGTTGAAAATATTCCCTCTTCTGGAATGTCTTGATGTTTATGTGCACCTTTCTGGTAGTGATTTTCAGTGCAGCAAAATGTAATTAATTGCTAGAAAGTTGAAGGTAGAAATTACTTCAAGTGGGATCTTGCCAAGGATCTGGCAAACAAACTGTTATTTATTTCAACATTTTCATCGTGGTGAAGGAAAAATGTCCTTAGATGAAAACTTACCTGCCTGTTTTATTGGATGATAGTAAAACTGTAAGTATGAAAAGGATGTAGGCTTGCTGGAGTCTTTCTAGTTCACATGGTAGCACTTCCTGGCAGGAACAGTCTGAGACAGCTTTTATAACCCAATCTTCAAAGAGGCCTCACCTCCATCCCCAGTTTTTCAGTTGTTTTCATGAAAAACTCTGCCTCTGTGAACAGAAAAACACAGGTTTCCAGTGGAAGTTTGGGTGCATGGTGCCACAGAGCTGATAGGCATTGCATTCCTGGGGAAACAACTTCCATGCTAAGGAAGGGAAGCACTCTCTGTCCCCCTGCTGAGTGGGGCATGGACACCAAAGGCACAGGGGGCTGTGTTTGAGATCCACAGGAATATCCCAGAGGCAGGTGCCAAGAGGATGGTGCCAGCCTCTTTTTGGTGGTGCTCAGTGACAGGATGAGGAGCAATGGACAAAAAGTAAAACACAGGAAGTTTAACAACATGGAGCCATGGAACATCCAGAGTTGGAAAGACCCACACGGTCACCCAGCGCAGCCCCTGGCCCTGCCCAGACACCCCAGCAATCCCACCCTGTGCATCCCTGGGAGCGTTGTCCAAACCCTCCTGGAGCTCTGGCAGCCTTGGGGCTGTGCCCATTCCCTGGGGAGCCTGGGCAGTGCCCAGCACCTTCTGGGGAATAACCTTTCCCTGAGCTCCAGCCGTTCCCTGGGTCCTGTCCCTGGGCACAGAGAGCAGAGATTGGAGCTGACCCTCTACTCCCATGGGGAAGAACTTCTTTCCATGGAGGGTGGCAGAGCCCTGGAACAGCGGCCCAGGGAAGGTGTGGAGCCTCCAGCTCTGAAATATCCCAAACCACCCGTGTCACCTGCTCCGGGTGGCCCTGCCTGGGTGAGGGGTTGGACTGCATCATCTCCAGAGGTCCCTGGTACCCCCCCGATTTATTCAAATACATTATTCTGTATTTGTGCATCGTGACCTCAGCGGGCACCAGGTGCCTCCCCGCTCAGAGCCCCTGCCCTGCGACACCGCGGATCCGAGTGCGGGATGAGCGGTGCGGTACCCGGGATCAGAGTGCGGGATGAGAGGTGCGGTACCCGGGATCAGAGTGCGGGATGAGAGGTGCGGTACCCGGGATCAGAGCGCGGGATAAGAGGTGCGGTACCCCGGGGTCCGAGTGCGGGATGAGCGGTGCGGTACCCGGGATCAGAGTGCGGGATGAGCGGTGCGATACCCAGGATCAGAGTGCGGGATGAGCACTCCAGGTACTCCGGGATCAGAGCGCGGGATGAGCGGGGCCGGTACCCCCAAGATCCGAGTGCGGGACGAGCACTCCCGGTCCCCCCGCACCCCGCGGGAGCCGGCGGGCGGGCGGGCGGCTCCTCCCCGCGGTGACGGCCCCGCGCCCGCCCCGC